CTCATCATTGATGTTTCTATCTCTCTCTCCCTCTCCCTTCCTCTCTGAAATCAATAAAAAAAAATATTGGGGAAAAAAAAGAGAAGACTAGATTTTCTGGTCTTAATTGAAAAAAGATTCACATGCCCTAGACCCGTGGTTGGCAAACTGCGGCTCGCGAGCCACATGCGGCTCTTTGGCCCCTTGAGTGTGGCTCTTCCTAAGCCTTAGGAGTACCCTAATTAAGTTAATAACAATGTACCTACCTATATACTTTAAGTTTAAAAAATTTGGCTCTCAAAAGAAATTTCAATCGTTGTACTGTTGATATTTGGCTCTGTTGACTAATGAGTTTGCCGACCTCTGCCCTAGACACCAGGGATGGAGATAATAGAGATAACATTTTATTGAAAATTCAAAGGACCTGATTGCACTTCTACCCTGGGGCTGCAACCCCCACTGAGAAGACCTTTTTTAGGATTGGAAGGCAGATCAAGGATCATAGATCTACAGTACTTACATATAACCACCTTAGTGGTTCTGCCAAAAGGAAAATATTAAAAGTATAAAATACAGAGCCCAATGTTAGAAGTACAAACAATAGTTCACTGGAGTTTACCAGGTATACCAATTGTGGCAGTAGCAATTCTCAACACTTTTGCCATTATTGAGGTTTTTAATCCAGACCCAGATGGCCTTAACTCATTCTTGTTTTCCTTTGCATTCATTCTATCACCTACACTTGCTGGCTCCTTTTTAGACACCTTACACATTATGGAGGAAAAACCAAAGTATTACAATATCTAAACACAGCTTAAGAGTAACCTCTCACCCACATTCCTGTCATCTAGTAATTGGTTAATATATAATAATGATTAATAGATTGTGTCCACAATACCCTCCTCATTCCTGGCCTCATGTTTGATTTTTGTAGCAAGTAGTCAAAGTCCCCTCATCATATCCTCAGGGAAACAGACCCAGAGACAGATACTGAGGTACAAGGCAAAGACCAAGCCCAGGCAGGGATTTCAGCATTGGCCGCAACAAAGGAGCTTACTATTGACTCAGACTCAGCCTGGAAGCTTTCATAGTTATGTAAGAGGAGCCAGTCTTTAGTAAGACTGAGAGAAGCCTGAGGACCCCTCTCTTTATCACCAAGACTCCCCTCCCTCTGTCCACCCTGGAAATCATAACATGGTTGCTCTCACAGGTCAACATCATTTATGGAGTGTGTCATAGTCATCAGTGAGTTGCTCCCCACCAAACGGAGAGAACCACTGGTTTAAACAGAGATCCTTTGGAAGGTGGCCCCCTCCAATGACATCGATGTGGGGACCTTCAACATAGCACAAATGACAGCTTATTAGTCTTTTAAAACATTTTAAAACATTAATGAGTGATAAATCTATGCTTCCCTCCATTTTTCTGCCATGAACATATTTGGACTCCTTGGCATTTGGCTCTCTGACATTTAAGGTATGTTATGAGCTACTTTCGAAGCTTTGTTCACCCTCACCCTTTTCTCAGTCTCAACTCTACATATTTTCCCAACTTCCTCATTCCACTTGAAACTTTTAAATAGGCTCTCAAAGGGAACTACACCATTTGAGTTAGTAATACAGTCCTTGTTTACTGCCACCATGTTTTTCATATGCGGCTAGATAAGAGTTGGGCAGCAGGCCCGGAGAACATGTATAGGATGATGGAGCTGAGGAAGATTCTGGGGGAAAATGGAACTGGGGGTTTTTTCTGGTGCATTGGACCACGTGAAAGATTATTATGGAGAGGCTGTGAACAAAAGATATCCCCAAAGCAAATGGAAAAAGTGAATTGTTAATTTCAGGAAAAGCAAAAGATTTACAAGAAAGGAAATGTAATCATATCACACAATTTGGCTCAACAGGAAACAATGTTTTTAAGGACATAATGTAAACTTTAATACAAATTTATCAAAAAAGGTGATAACATTATATGAGAGATTATAGAGAAGAAAAGTATATGGTAAAAGAATTAAGTATAAGTGCTAAGTCCTTATTAGACATCCTAGGAATTCATAAACATCTAACACCAAGAAATCAAGAAGAGCAATATAAGTATATTTGGTAGAAATATAAATATAATATCAGAATAAACAGGTAAATGTTTGAAAATGCTGGGGTGTGGTGGGCAAGACTGAAGAGTAGAGGAGGTGAAGATAAATCTTTGTTTTCTATTATAAGCCTTTAAATACTATTTGACTCCGATAACTATTTGCATGTAATACTTTGATAAAAATAAATTTTAATTTTAAAAAATATATGTGAAAATTTGAAAGGCTAGGAAGAGATAGTTCACAGAAAGAGAACTTCTTTAAAATAAGAGAAATGCAAATTAAAACTAAAGTGAAGTACTGTTTCTCCTCAACCAAACTGGGAAAAAATCCAAGTTTGCGGCCATCCTCTTTTGGCAAGGCTGTGGGGAGTATAAAATGACAGAATCGGGCAATAGCCACTAAAACTGCAGATGCATTTCTCTTTGATTCAGCAAACCCTCTTCTAGAAGCTCTTGCATGCCTGTGAAATGACATGTGTATAAGGTTATTCATTACAACACTGTTTGTAAAAGCAAAGGATTGAAAACAACCCAAACGCCCGTCAGTAGGTGACTGACTAAATAAAGTATGGTTCCATCACTTCGTGGAACATATTTATGTTCTCAATGAATAAAGATTTATTTTTAAAAAAAACCTACATAATTTTACAAGCAGCGTCCAGGCCCACCTCAGCTCCGAGGGCTGTCAGTGCCTCTCAGACAAAGCAAACTCTCCGCCCTTCCAAAGGCTGAGCATAAAGGGAACTTGGCTCTCAACCCCTTTCAAAATCTTAGAAACAAAGCAAAACAGGCAGTGAGGCAATGTCAGAGTTCACGTCGGTCCAGGTTCAAATCCCTCTTGGCCACTTTGCTCACTGACACACTCGGGCCTTGGTCCCTCATCTGTAAAGGAGGATGAAATTCCCTCCCTCCCAGGCTTGATGCGGGACAGTGTATGGGACACCGGGGGCCTGGCCCACAATGCGTGCTCAACAACAAATTTGTTATTAATAGTGGTGCCAGAAAAAGGAGTCCTGTCTCCAGGATTAATGTGTTCAGGAGAAGAGGACAATCATCTTGGAAATACCAAGATAAGAATCAAGGCACAGCGCTGAAGAACAGAATAGAAGGAATTTCCCTTTGTGACCAGGCAGTTTTGGAAGAGACTCTTCAACCACAGGCAGAAACGTACACCATGTGGGCACCTCCAGCTTCTCGTTGCCTCCACCTCCTCAGGGGACTGGCGGAGTCTTTCCTTCCCTAAGCCGCCTACACAGCAGGATGAGGAGGACTGAGCACACACCCCCTCTGTTTAGGATGCGAATCCCAAGGATCAGAGAAGCCACTGATGTACTCGAGAGCACACAGCCAGCAGTCCTGTTCCACAGCCGGGAGGAACCGCTAACCGGGTATACATTTTATGATAGCGTTTTCCAGCGATTCAAAAGAGAAAGAATAATTCTAAAAGTGAGTCCTCGGGCCACAGAACTAAGTTAACTTCCATTCACTTCTCAACGGGGCTGTGATCCATGTGAAAGCACATGGTCAATGGTGGTGGTGTAAGGAATGTGCTTATCATGTCAACCCATCGTGACAGCTGTGCCTGTGCTTTACCTTGTATATACTTCCTGTGGAATGAAGCCCACAACTTAGTAGCAGTTTGTACTGCAGTAAAAACAAGTATTTCCAGAATGTGCCCAATCCCTGCTCCAGCAATGACCAGACATGTAATGTTGGGTTGCCATGTCCTCCTCGGTAAAAGGGCGTATCAGCCACCTTCATTGTGCTGTTGCAAAAATAAAATCAGGTAACTGTGTGTCTGGCACTTAGCAAGCACCACTTCCCACAAGCCCAGCCCTCCTCTTGCCTTGTCTACATATGGGGTCTAATCAGTTCCACAACAACCTCCTGACCCGGTTCTTTGAATTCCAAAGAAAAATATTCCCATAAGCATCTCAAAAAAAAATTTTTTTAAGAAAACACTTTGATGATATGCACCAAGGTAAATAGTTTTTCATTTCCTCCGCCAGAAACAAGAGTTAAGAACCATCTCATTGAGAAGAATTATAAAGGGTATTTCTTTTTCAAAATTCCCCAAATATCTGTTCATCCACATTTCCTTTGGGGACTGGTTCCCACCATGTCTATATTAATCTGGATCCAGCTGTAGTCACTGGGTTCCTGATTCTCCCACATTCCGACCCTAGGCATTTGCTCATGGTAACCACTCAATAATTGGTTCTTAGTTTTACCAAGCAGAATGAGGTGACAAATTTCCACAGAGATACAGTGAGCATCTACTATATGCTAGGCATGTGTGTCTCAGATTTAATTATCACAACAATACCATCTTACAGACAAGAAAACAGAAACTTAGAGCACTGAGTGACTTGCATAAAGTCCCATGGTCAGGAAGGGGCAGAGTGGCATGGAGCCCAGGCCTCCGAGTTTGCTGTAACGAGGAGCCTCTCTCTTCTAAAGCACCTTTGTAACAGCTTTCCCTTCTCACCCACCCCCTCAGCACAAACAGAAATCCCTAATTTTCAGCAAGTCATTTGAAAACTGCAAAAGAGGGGCCCTATCCTTTTCTCTACCTCTATTGGTGAAAAATACAACATCATGTTTCCAACATACTAGTCAGACCAAAGAGGGGAAAATCCCCATGACTTCAGTAATTTTCCATCCTTTGGAACAAGGACATATCACACAGAAGATTTACCAAAAGATATAAACATTGCTTTTAAGTAATACTAATCTCTTTTACCATGGCTTACATTCTAAAATCTAAGGTTGAATAGCTTTCTTTCTTGTATCTTGAATAGACACGCAAGCCTAAATAGATATACAAACCATAAATTCAACAGCCAACTCGTTCGATTGGGCTCTCACATGAATACAGCGATTCCTGACAACTCACACCCCAATTTGACCCTGGTCTGAGGCGTGCTGACCTGAAATAGTTGCTGGCCGCAGCAAGCACCACGCGGTGGCAGGAGAATTCCTGAATGTCCACACACAAGATGACATCTGTCAGAGCATTTTCCACTCGGAGGGTCTCCAGGCCATTCTGCAGAATTAAGGACAGTCCCGTGTCGTCAAATTTTGCCTTATCACCATTTAAGATTTCTACCAGGTCCCCCCTTTTCTGGGAGGGTTCATCTGCAGGAGGTGCCAATGGCTCTTCCAAACTTTTCTCTACCACGTCGCCCATAGTCCAGATGCCCCTTTGTCCTGCCATCGACATCCAGACTGGAGAAGCGCCCAAGTTTCAGGCAGGTCACATTGCAGAAGCTGAGCGGATTTCCTGTGTAGGGCCCTGCACTTATCACCAGCTGTCACACACGCATAACAGGAAGTCTCGCACTTTCTCATCCTGTTACTACAAAAGCCCATAATGTTTATTCTTCTTCTTTCTGTGAATATTCACAAGGTTAGATGTTACTTAGGATGGGGTGTGTAGGAAGGGGCTCCGGGAGAGAAGGGGTGGCTTCTTAGGGTCAGCTATTAGTGTTGTGCAGTTATTTTGGTCCACCTCCCCCCTCATATCCGTAAGCAGGAAGCCTCTGATTCTGGTGATTCCGTTTGTGCTCCTGGTGCTTCTGTAACTGAAGCTGTCCATGAGGAGATGGGCAGGGGGCGCTCTACAGTCCTCTCCCACCATCCTCCCAGGAGTCTAAGACCCCACGATGAGCCCCACGGAGTCTCTTGGGAGCCTTGGAAAACATGCTTATCTCTGGCATTCTCATTTCTATCAGCACTGCACATCTTCAGTCTCTGTCCTCCTCCCTGTTCAGGGGAAAACAATGTCATGGCAAATATTAACATTCCCCACCCCCTTTCCAAAATGTCTGATGTTTCAGAAATGCAGGGCGGAGGAGTGGTCTCCAGAAACTCCATCCCCAGGGTCTTCTCTCATAGAAGACCAATCAGGATAAGTCTTCAGATTGCCTTAGCAAGTCTCCAATCAGCCTGATCTCACCCAGCATCTATTGGTCATGCATCTAGTAGTGGATAATGAAGCATTTCCATGACCTCTGCAGGTCTCCATTAAATAGTAGGACTATCTTTTATAATTCAACTTCCACTGTATCCTAGGACAGTTTTAGAAGTTAGTGTATTTTTATCTTTGTAACAACCCACTGGGGGTAGATATGACTTTCCTCATTTTACAGCTAAGGAAACTGAAGCTCTGATCAAGTGAGGGGCAGGGCCCCATTTCACTGGGCTCCAAGGCCACTCTTTCCTCCACCACCATCAGGCTCTCAGAGCTGCAACGTCATGTTGACCTGAACTCCTGAGTCTCCCATGGAGAGAACTGCAAGGCCTGCCTGCCATGGCTGCACTATCCTGGTGCCTTGCCAAAGTGGCCTTACCGTCTCACTCCTGCTCTCACTCGCCTTCTAGATGTGGGGAGCACTACCAGGCCTCCTGATCCACAGGAGTTCGATCCTCTCACTGTCCTGCTCAGTGGTGATTGAGCCCGCTCCAGGAGTTCTGATTGTGCCTCAGCTCTTCTTCTCTCCCATAGATAGTTACTCTTAAAATCAGGATCTTTGTCCCTAGCTGATTTGGCTCAGTGGATAGAGCATTGGCCTGGGGACTGAAGGGTCCCAGGTTCAATTCTGGTCAAGGGCACATGCCCGGGTTGTGGGCTTAATCCCCAATTGGGGCGTGCAGGAGACAGCAAATCAATGATTCTCTCTCATCATTGATGTTTCTATCTCTCTCTCCCTCTTCCTTCTTCTCTGAAATCAATAAAAATATGTTTTAAAAGACACACATTCTCATTAATATATTTTTTAAAAATTTGGGTCTTTGATATTCCCCCAAACTTGCTCTTTATTTAGAGCTCTGTCAATCAAGACAATTTGGGCTTCAATAACAGAGTATCCCATCAAAAGTGGGTCTCATGCCTGGCCAGCGTAGCTCAATCAACCTATCAACCAGCAGGTCACGGTTTGATTCCAGGTCAGGGCATATGCCCAGGTTGCAGGCTCGATCCCCAGTTTGGGTCATGCAGAAGGCAGCCAATCAATGATTCTCTCTCATCATTGATGTTTCTCTCTTTCTTTCCCTCTCCCTTCCTCTCTGAAATTAATATATATATACATACTAGAGGCCCAGTGCACGAAATTTGTGCACGGGGGTCGGGGGGGGGGGGGATCTTCAGCCCGACCTGCACCCTCTCCAATCCGGGACCCCTCGGGAGATGTCCGACTGCTGGTTTAAGCTCGATTCCTGCAGGATTGGGCCTAAACCAGCAGTTGGACATCCCTCTCACAATCCAGGACCGCTGGCTCCTAACCACTCACCTGCCTACCTGCCTGATCGCCCCTAACCACTCTTCCTGCCTGCCTGATCACCCCTAACTGCTCTCTCCTGCTGGCCTGATCATCCCTAACTGCTCTCCCCTGCCGGCCTGATAGCCCCTAACCACCTCTGCCTCAGCCCCTGCCACCTTGGCTTTGTCTGGAAGGGCATCTGATCTAATTAGCATATTACCCTTTTATTAGTATAGATATTTTTAAAGTAGGTCTCACATTATAGGAAGCCAGAAGTTTGGAGTCCCAAGTTAATCCTGATGCCTACTAATGCATCAAGGACACGAGATTTTTCATCTTTCCATTCTATTGCCCTCAATGTGATCCACTACTAGATGCATGACCAATAGATGCTGGGTGAGATCAGTACCAAACACCATGTTTTCATACAACCAATCCAATCCATTATCAAGAAGTAAAAGAGCAGGCCTCTTCTCCTCCATCACTCTCTTTTTACCAAAGAGAAAATATTTCCTTAAATCCTCATCAGATTTCTAGGCTACTTGCCTACCTCACACCAAAGGCCTGGAAATATAAATGCAATACCATGATTGGCTTGAACCAAACTTGATTTGTCCACTGAGACTAGCCCACCTTCCCTAAGATCTAATAGCTGAATAAAATCAGGGTCTGTTAGCACAGAAGAGGGGAAAAGGCTGGTGTGTAGTTAACCTCCTGTGCCTGCCACAAAGACATGCACAACCTTAACTCTTCCTGCAGGTCTTGGCTGGGAGGAACTCAAATTGTAAACAACATTGACCATATTCAGCTCCACCCCAATCACCCAAAATAAAGCAAATTTTAAAATAACACTCAATTCTTTATTCATGATGAATCTGTTCCCTTCTTATTTTCCATATACTTTCCAAACCCAGCCATATTATCCCCTGATACAAACAGATAACTGTTACCTTTCCCACAACCTCCCATTTTCCTAGTAAGCAAGCACACACCTGTGGTATAAGATATTCACAATTATATTTTAGTGCAAAGGTAGAAAACACAATTGGATGGGCATTTATGTCAACCTAGATATGCTTTAAGATTCAGCATGAACTGGTAAATATTCTCTATAGCTACAGGCAAAATAACTGCTCTGTGAAAGCTTTCTTTTCCCTGCCAGGCAACAAAAGGTACAAGCCATTGGCAAAAGCTTTATTAATGAGAAAACAATTTAATTATATCTTACTAAGTTAGTTGGCTCTATGATGCTTATAAGCTGTAGATTCTGTCCTCATACAAGTGGATAGCTTCACTCAAGGAAAATCTTAATTCCTAAGGCCACAGATTGCCCCCTCTAACTCCAGTCAACTGTCTTCTCTAACACAAATTATAATGATAGAAACAAGTCTTAAGTAGGCTACAGAGGAAGAGGCACTGTTCCCTCATGTTAACTTATTGCTACAATGATCATCTATTGAGCACCAGCTGTGTTCCAGGAACTATGAGAGTCACTTTAGGAACACTAATGCCCTTAATCTTCCCACTAATCCAGTGCAATTGAGTGCTATGATCTCCATTTCAGAGACAGGAAAGCAGATAAAATCACATAATTGTAGCACAAAATATCTGTGTCACATCCATATCCCTGTAGCCCACCCTGGAATTCAAACCCATACGCTCCAAAAGCATCACTCTGCCTGAGAACGTTCTTTGGCTACAAGAAAATGTCAGTTCACCAGAAGTGCTGAAGAGTTAATGCCCCCAAAATGACCTTCAACTGCGGGCCAGGAGTTGGTAGATAAATAGGCTAGCTTCCTTGTCTGCAGGTGGGACAATGAAGTGTGTCCCAGTGTCTGTCAGAGGACTCCCAGGATGCTGAGCTCCAGTTGCCCACAGTAGTGACCCACTCATCCTCTCAGGGCTTCCCAACCTTTCCATCTCACTTCCCCACCCCATCCCTGTGCTTCCCAAATAAACCACTTGCATCCAATCCTTGTCTTAAGGTCTGCTTGGGGGTGGAGGGGTGGGGATGCAAATTAAGGCACATCGCTACTCAGTGGCAGAATCAAGATTTGAACTCAGATGTGGCTAATTCTAAAACCCATGCTTTTCAGACGCCAACAGAATCCCAGTCCCAAGGAGGGGCTTTCCCGGAAACACTCCAAGGCAACTGTGACTTTGATTCATCATAGTCAGGGGATTTATCTCTTTCTACCAACCTAGCAATGTCCAGTCAGCTCTGGCTACTGCTCTTTGCTGCACACCGTGATGCTCAAGGGGCTAACTCATCACTGACATAAGGACTTCACAAAGCCAGCTAGACCATTGCCTGCCTTTCTAGTCACAATTTCAATGGCACCAAAGCATCACAAGCTGCGCCTGCAGTGCCTCTGGGCCTCTGCCTGCCACATTTGCCAGGGCACTCTGCCCTAAGCACCCCATTGCCTCTCTCCCAGAGCAGCAGAGGAACCCCCTTTTCCTTTTCTGATGTTAGTAGAAAGGTCAAAGGGGCTCATCTTGACAGCCTTTATTTTTTGCTTCTCAGAATCTTTGAGTTGCTGCTCTTCCACGCCCCCATATGGGGGCTATCACTACATATGGAATTAACACACTGTATGGGAGCCATCTATTGCCCTATACAAGCCAAACAAGTCCTCTATTCCCCTACACAGAAACCTGTTTCCTGATTTACAGTCTGTGAATAAGGGGGCAGTGAGAGATACTTCTGAAGGGTTTACAAAATAATTCAGGAAAGTGGCTGGATACAAGATAAAAATATTAATAAATGTTTCCCGGTATACCAACAATAGCCAGTTAAAAGTGTAATGGAAAAATAATGCTATTCACGATGATAATAAAGCATATACAAATGCCTAGAAATAGCCTCAACAAGGAATGTAAGATAAAACTAACAAACTTTACTAAGAGATTTAAAAGAAAATTTAAATAAATATACCAAATGGGAATGTGCCAAATGGAAACAAA